TAGGGAATGTGCTTTGGCAGGGGGGCTGGACTAGATGATCTTCCGAGGTCCCTTCCAACCCCTACCATTCTGTGATTCTAAATAAATTCAGTTGAAAAAAACACAGCTGTTCACATCTGCAAAATACTACTCCAAATTTCTTTCAAATCAGCAGTTTAGTCATTGTAACATACTGGCTTTTAAAAGTTTTTGTTTTCATAGCTGTAATTAATGAAGAAAAGGAGTTCAGTTCACCTGAGAACTACAAAGATATATTGCCAGTAATGACAAGGAGAACATGATGCACATCAGGAGATAAATCATACCCTATCAAAATTCAGACCTTCACCAATTGCAGTAATTGCTTTTTTGCTGTACCTGTATAACCTGAGGCAGAGAAAAGAAATTTCATTACTTACAAAGGTAGACATGGAATTAGGCAATGAAAATAACAACTATAAAGCAGATGAGCTGGTCACCAAATGATCCTCTGTACAGATACATTCCTATGTTCCCATCGGTCCATGTAACTTGCCAGTGTAGGCGCAGTCCTTCTCTCCATAGAGGTACTTAGCTTACATGTCTTAAACTAAGCAGAAGAGGAATTTAACATCTTCTATTCTTGCATGGTCAAAAACTTCTCTTACTTTAAGGACTTATTCATGTAAACAAGGCCTTTTGCTGATTTTCTGCATAAGGTAAATTCCACTTGGAGTACATTTCAGTAGTAGGCTCTTGTGTTTAAGACAAAAATTTTGTGCTTTCTACTGCATTTAAACCTTGATCTATATCTCCTGTACTTTGAATGACGTCTATAGATTTAAAAAAAAAATAATCTTGTTCTACTGCACACAAAGCAACCTGGCTGTTTGTTTTAGTGGTTTATTAATCTTTGTAGTTACAGCACATTTAATTTTCCTATCACATGGGAAAAAAAACCCAAAAAAACAAACCCAACACAAAAATAGCTGAAACTTCAAAAAAGAAATAATTTGCATGTCAGTAATCACTTGTGTGCAATGGGCTTCTGTACCTAGAAGACAAATAACAGTCTAGGCTCTAAGTGATCATTATCAGTCAATTTTAGAACTATAGTGAAAGCATACTGGGAACAAAGTCATCACTAAATACCGAAATGACATAGGACTCTATGCACTGTCCATTATTTACATGGTAAAAGACCTTATCAGAAGCAACAGTAATCTCCCCAAGTTCACAGGTCAGCTCAAAGACAGAATATATAATTTTTTTTCATTAGTTTCAAGATTATTAAAAAATGTTTTCCTCATGCTGCATTTATGAGGAACTCAAAGGAAGGTATAACAATCAGCCTGCTGAGCATGCCATAACTTATTAGCCTTACTACTGCTATGACAAACAGAATCCATAATGATTGAAAAAATTAAATCTGTATTTTATTAGGAGATTAAAAACTGAATGTCAAAGAGAAAACAATTACAAATATACTGTTTCTGGTTACATCAGGCCATCTTTATGGGAACAAACTTCTACATCAACCACATAATTGAAAACAAAAACTTTTGGTTTTCTTACATTCATCAGCTCAAGAATTCACAAATAATTAAGGCATGTGAATCTGAACAATTAATGTAATTCCATTTTCAAGAGTCTTGTGTTACTGGACAGTCTTCATTTTTTAGATTATCTGGTTCTCCAACATTCCAGTTTGTGTGAGTTACAACCCCTCCATTCAGATGCATGAACCTGCCTTCAGTCTGTTCATCAGATATCCCCGTATAAGCCTGCTTTGAAGGTCTTATTAAGTCTTTTAAAGTTGTACTCTTAGCCTCATTCCTAGGAGAGGCAAGTGCACTTCCAGCTTTTGTACAAAGGGAATTTCCATTATCAAAAGTATCTTCTTTTATATTTGGGACAAATATTTTGAACCAATACTGTTGATGTTCTTTAAAATGAAAGCTAGGGAAAAAAGTGAACATAATTGTATTATACCAAAAATTAATCATGCTATTGTTATTTATCTGTATCACAACTGTACTTCAGAAGTAGCTAATATCAGCTATAAACAGACTACTGTTGTAGTAGGTAGAATCCAATAGAAGTCAAACAAAACAGACATCTGGAAATATCAAATCTGCATATCAAGAAAACTGGAATTTCACAAGAAACTGGATCACAAGTCTTGTTCTAATGTTTTTAATTTCCAGTTCACATAGTATTATAGCTCTTGAATTAGGATCTGAAGGAATTCACACTCAAATTACAAGCATGACAAAATAGCTTGCCAGGTTTCAATGCAAAAATCACAGATCAATTAAAACCATGCAAAGGAACTGATCTGCAATTAGGAGATCATCAGCTTTATTACAGAAAACAAAGCTAAGGGACTGTAACAAAATTCAGGGTTTAAAGCAACAGAGCAGAAAGAAGAGACATAGAGATAGCTTTAGTGAGCCTGGGAAACTATTTCTCCAGAAAATATAAATTATCTTAGGAGAAGTAGGAATATACAGCTCCCATGCTTGACAGGCTTTCATGAAAAGCCAATAGAAAGTGAAGCTCTTTTTCATTTAGCAGATAAAACTGCTAGCAACAATTCTTTTGAAACACAGTTACTGTCTTTAATGGGCAAATTCTTTTATCTTATTGTCTTTAATAGGTTTCTAGGATCTGTGTGAAGTGAGTCTACCACCTTATAACAATGATAGACTAGGGCATATGTATAGTTAAATTTCCCCTGATGTTGTGGGAACGGCACCAGCACAATGCTCTTGTCCTATGCTTCTGTGCCAGGTAAAACCTCCACAATGGTTGCAGACACCCTTTTCTAGGGTGTTGATACATGGGCACAGCAGGACAAAAGGGAGATGGTTGAAGATATTACTGCTACCAGCTGTTCAGCCTCTCCATGTTCTTAAATTTCTTGCCAACTTTCAGGCTTTACACACAACTACGGCTTCAGAGTTGCGCTTTCTCCAGGGAAGACACCCTTTTGTAAGGATGGCCAGTGGATGGCGTGGAGCTATATGGCTTTATTCTGCTAACGCTCACGATGTGGTAAATTGCAGCCTGTGTTATTTCCTCCCAAGTTAATTTAAGAACAATGATGGACCTTGTGCATTTCCTAATGTGGCATTTGTACCAGGGTTAGTAGTGCACCGATGAAACAGTCTTTGAAAGTTTTCACAGAGTATCTCTTGAGAAATTACTTGCAGCCAGGCCTAGACAGACAGCATCTCAATTCATGTCTACTCATAGAAAATTATCTACACCTAAGGCAATAAGAGAAATGTAATGCCATGCTTAAAGCACAAGCACACAGAGAACAGTTCATGTAACAATGCCCCGGCCCTGTATGTTGGTAAGGTGATCCTAAGTTTGGCTGGTCAGTTCAGGAAGGACATATTCAGTGAGAGAGCATTTAATTAATAACCATCTCCCATGAGCAACACAAGAAAAACTTGTAGCATTTGTTTCAACCTACTCTTTTCAGGCCTTTCTCCAGCACAAGCATGTCACCATTTGACCAGGCCAAAAAGAAAACCGATCAATGATTGGACCTTACCTTTTTTGTATCTATTCAGTTCAGTCTCCAAAAATTGTACTTTTTCTTCCAAAGCAGTTGCTTGTCTCTGCAGGTTATCAGTTGCTACAACTAGCAGTTAAGGATGTTATTTAGTAATTTATATGAAAATGAGTACACAACAGATGTCTCTCAGATGCTTAGCTCTTCTGTAATATGACACCATGTGAGAGAGCTATTTGGTTTCCAGAGCAGAAACCACAGGCCACATTGCAGATTTGAGAAATTTATTTCTTACTTCCACGTTCTCCTTTTTCTCCTTTTGGTCCAAAATCTCCTTTTATTCCTAGAGGTCCCACTGTTCCAGGGAAACCCTGTAAACCTCTTAATCCATCTCCTAGAGTTTGATTAAAAATAAAATAGTTTAAATGTTTTCTAAGTTTTTCTCATACTATATGTTCTTACTGCTTAGAGGGAGTACCAAACACGGACAACTTTTTTTATTTTATTTTTTTTTCCCCAGAAAAATAAAAACTTCTCAGAAAAATTGAATTGCTCCTGTGGAAAGCTTAATTTGCTAGGAAATGCATTACTTTGATGAAAATTCTTTACTACACCCACTTATGACACTGAAAATCCAATGAAATTAATAGTCTCATGTTATTGCAGAGGTACCCATGCTCTAAAACCAGAAAACCAATATACTCCAGCTATAATCTAATCATACATCACAGTATATGATCTAGAAAATGAGCTAAATCATAAGATTAAAGGTACCTCTGAAGCAGTTTGTTGAAATAGATAGTGTTGGCTTTACTTATTTCAACCATGAAATTGCAGAGGGCATACTGAGGGTATGTGGACCAGAAAATGTCTATACGGAATATCAATATATGCCACTGAAGTTTTATGTCACAGCTCATAACAAGTCATATTGATAATGATAGGATTTTGCTTGGAGGTTGAAAAGCAATTATTTAATTCTAAGATGTGTTGCACACACGTGATAACACAGACAGGATATGGTAAGAAAGTTCATTATTCCATATGTACTTATTAAGTGTTTGGACAGAAAGTATGATTTGGCACCTTGGGAGAGCAGGTGCCTTGGTTCTACCACATGACAGGAAGCACTTGCTCTCTATTTGCTCTTTGCAGCACTGCATGAAAAAAGTTACCTAACTGACAAATCATATCTTGGGGGAATTCTGTTGTTGGGACTTAATGAGTATGAAGCAATCAAGTTATGACCATCAGATTAGTAGCCAATTCTAGCAAGCATGCTTTCTGGTTTTGAGAGCTGGCCTCTGGAAAGAAAAAGCATTAATCATTTAGTAGGGTATCACAGGAAATTCTAAGTGATTAAGAGTACAAATGGTACAATCAGATTAAAGTCTCATTACATGTCTGTTTTATGGACTGCTGTGAAAATGTACAGGGGTTTTTTATTTATTAAAAGCCAGGTATCTAGAATAGCACTATAAATGCAGAAAGCATTTTCAGCTTCCTGAAATTGTGCAGAGACTACAAAAGGTTAATGGGGCAGAAGAAAAGGAGATGACAAAATGAAAGAATGAAGGAGGCATGAAACAAGACTAAAGAGATGAAAAAGATTGTCAAAAGTACAATACTGCTAAATGGTCACAGTTGTGTACCTGGTTCTTCCTTTTCACCTTTGGGACCATCTCTTCCATCTCTGCCTGGTAAGATATTGACTCCAGGAGCACTGTACTGAATTACTGGCCAGGAATAAATTTGCACCACAGTAATTGTCCTCGATTTCAATATGAGGGTCAAATCTGAGGCAATTATGTTCCACGTATTCTGTGTTTAACTGAAAAAACCCTAAATGAACTATCACAAACATGATCTGACAAACTTTTGTAGTAAATAAACCACATAAGTCAATTGACCTTATTTTCTCACAGTTCTACCGGTTAAAATGAAAAACAAGCCTAAGGAAGCACTATTTAGTTGACAGATTGGGGTAAGGAGAGAAAATCTAATCCAGCTTGAATTTTGCTAGTCACCTTAATTATTTCTCTTTATTTTAAGCTTCAGAAAAGATTACCCACACAGACCAGCTTCCCCTGTCATGTCATCTGATAAAGTGCAATATAAAGTATAATTGCTAGAATATTACTGTGATAAGATTATCCTTAGGATAAAAAGCAGAGTTTAAGAAGCACCACTTTTCTATGTACTTCGTTGTGCTTTGTCTATTATGCTCACATCAAAATCTAGGCTAATGGCATAAGGTATTTGGCTAACTAGTATAACAAAACTTGAATCCTTATCCAGCTTCATGGACTCAAGCCAGTTCATAACAGTCCTCTAAGGATTTACTTCTGCTGAATTTTCATACTATGTTAACTATCCATTAGCAGGGAAATTGATATTGCTGCTGTCTCCCATGAAGGCAACAAGACAAAGCTAAAAATAACAAGGAATAATAAAAGAAAGCTTGAAAAAAAAATGTTAAGCTCTCAGAGCTTATCAATGACCTGGATGTAGGGGTAGCATCCACCCTCAGCAAGTTTGCTGATGACACAAAGTTGGGAGGAGTGGCTGACACACCAGAAGGCTGTGCTGCCATTCAACAGGACCTGGACACACTGGAGAGTTGTGTAGTTCTGGGCTCCTCAGTTCAAGAGGGACAGGGATCTTCTGGAGAGAGTCCAGTGGAGGTCCACAAAGATGATGAGGGGTCTGAAACTTCTGCCTTACAAGGAGACGCTGAGAGAGCTGTGACTCTTCAGCCTGGAGAAGAGAAGACTGAGAGGGGATCTTATCAATGTGTATAAATATCTGAAATATGGGGGCCAATGGATGGGGCAGGGCTCTTTTTGGTGGTGGCTGGTGACAGGACAAGGGGCAATGGGCAAAAACTGGAACACCAGAAGTTCCAGACAAACTTGAGGAAAAACTTCTTTACTGTGAGGGTGTCAGAGCACTGG